TGCCTGTGTATTTCTTTATCTTTTTTTTTGATTGCTTGACTCTCTCTCTCTCTCTCTCTCTCTCTCTCTCTCTTTCTCTCTCTCTCTCTTCTCCCTGTCCTCTTCTCAGAGCTTACACAAAACCAATACAGTCGAATCTCAGTAATTCGGGGAGTGTGCCAGCAGTATAAACCAACGGCGCTTTGTCTTCCTCGAATACAGCTCGGTCTCTGAATCAGGAACACTTAACGACCAATATAAAGGGCAACTGATTGTCAATGGGCATTTCGTGGTCGTTATGTCGTTATGCAAATGGCGCCGCGCTGTCTGTGTTCTCGTCTGGGCTCAGAAAAATCACGCCGAGTTATGAGCCTGCAGTTGAAAAGGTCGATAGGGGCTATTTCGGGGGAGCGTCGGTCGCCAGGGGAGCCTTTCAAACTTCCCCTGCACGCGCCGCCGCGCGGGAGCGATCTCCGATAGGTTAATGGGGCTAATGGATAATCGGTAGTTTCGGATATCAGCATGATATATGGCAAAACCAAAATGGTTGCTAAGTGTTATAGGGATGTGCATTTGAAATACAGCTCACATTGACGGCGTTCACGCATGCCTACTACGAGTAGGTATAACTTATTCGGTAGTAATGTTATCTCTATAACAAAAATCCGAACTCCGTTAGGTGCCATAGTCATAGTTTCCAATCCCTGTTTGGACAGGGCCTTTGCGCTTCATTTCAGTTTGTTTTATCTCAGGAGCTATCACGGCACTGATTCGGCTGCGTGTCGGTTCTTCATTACGCGTCTGTCGCTACAACAAGCGCCGTTCATCCGACACGAACAATGTGATGTGGTATTCAAGTGATATTGCCTATATATCTCTCCCCAACACACCGACGATCAGGCTGATCATTTCAATCATGTTCCGTCACAAAAACCGCTCGGGGCCAATTGAAGAGCTCCATTGCCGACCACAACTACCGCGGCGTGCCAGTGGCCGAGTTTTTATCGTTGTTCCTCTGCCAGAGATCAACAACTGACAACGTACCATCCTCGTAGTTCATAGAGCTGACATGAGACGGCACGCGACGGAGAGATAAAGCTAGGGGTGTAATGGAATATACCGTTGGTACATACACGCACGCACATGCATAGAAGAGAGTGGTATGACACAGATAAAGAGCCATGATAGCATTAGATTCGATAGCTGCACTGCATTGTTTGTTTTTGCGTCAGCTGTGTACAAGCTACGAGACACTTTCTTCTCTATAGTTATAATCTTACGAAAAGGGTCGTCAGATTCGTATGTCTTTCTATAAACAAATATTGTTTGAGAATTAATACGTGCTTAGTAGTGATGTCAATTTCAGAAATTTTGGAAACCAATACCAAACCGATACCGACCAAAACCACTGAGAGTATACCAAAACCGAACCGATTTTCAGAAATAGGGTGAAATACCGACTAGGTACCGAATTCAAGGAATCATCAAACAAATACTTCAAAGTTCAAACTTTCTCAAAACAAATGATAAGCATTAAAAGGTAATACTTTCAAATAAGGCAACAAAAACAAGTCAGAAAATCTCTAAGTTATTTGCACTGCAAAGAAAATATAACTGTATTGTGTAACTATGAACAAATATTCAGGTCAGTTACTTAACTGGCGGCGGCCATTTGCATTTAGGCCCGAAACGCACGGAACTGCATAAAATAAAGTTTTTTTTTCTTTTTTGCTTATGTACACTTAATTTAAAAATATGATGTTCATATTTTGGTATCTTTTAATTAATTCAAGAAATTGAAGTTGAACGAAGTTGAGAATTTGTGGGGTGATGATGAAGTGATAAATGCTGCCTTCAATATTAGATGATATTGGCGAAGCTAGTGCTATAAAAACAGGGTTTTGACTTTTGGATAATGTAACTGCATTGCAGTGAAATGGAGAGCAAGACAAGGTCAAGATCAATCACAGACTCCTGAAAGCAAAGTCAAATTTGTTACCAATGAATGCTTTGGAAATTTTGAGTAAGGTAGTTAGAGTATGTTTTCCAGTATACAGTGAGTTAAACATTGATACATGTTTAATGTAATATATGTAATGTTTAATGTACATGTCTTGCACATTAGCTTTTTTGTAAGATAATTATCCTCATGGTATTGGAATTTGCTGGAACTGATAAGTTGGTAGACTGATGTGTTTGATGTTGCAGTTAATGTGTTTGCCCATTTGTTATGACATCATGCATTTGGGAGAAATGTGTCATGATTGTCCTTTTTCTTCATCCAATGTCATTTAGCAAATCAAATTTGAGTTCAGAAAGTTTATCAAAAATGTTTTAATTTTTTATGACAGTAGTTGACTTTCATAATACCGACAAAATACCAAATGCTTTTGGCATAAAATACCGAATACCGAATCGGTATCGGTTCGGTATTGGTATACCGAAATTTTGGTAACCGATTGACACCACTAGTGCTTAGCTTACTGTTTATGGGTTCATTGTGACCCAAAGATGAGAAAAGTTACAGATGTGATATATACGTACCTACATACACAACTTTCCTGAAGGCCCGAATCGTACTCAGGAAAGCAATGCCATTAAACCTCAATTTGGTCAATTAATTCAATTGACATTCGATATTTGATGGCGTTATTTATTTGCTAGCGTCGTCTACAGCCTGCGCAGTGTGCCCATCCCAGAGCGGTGTGCTGTGTCCCGTGAGGCGGCTATAATACGATCGCCTTCCGATGGGATGGGATGCAGACTGCACGACGGAAAGAGAACACGGAAGGAGAGCGGAAGGGGAGCGGAGTCGGGGGACGGATCGCCGTCTTACTGTCGCTGACGTATCACCGGGAAATGACCGGCCTGGAGGCGGGAAGGGTTGGGTAGGTAGAGAAGGGGAGTGTATAGGCTGAGTTCCAGCAAGGCAAGAGTCTCCAGAAGCTAATGGGTCGGTATCAATGCGCTCTCTTCCCGCGGTGAAGCAAGGCATGAGGTGGATTCATTGCATGAAAGGAAATTTTATATGATGCGTGCATTTGGGTGCCGTAGAAATTGAAAGAGAAGCGTAGTTGCGCATATATACATGCATAGGTACAAGCTCTATGCACAGAAGCTGCAACATTTACTCCTGGCCAATATTAGCAAAACGTGATAGATAAAAGACGGGCATGATTCTTACCCAATTAAAGAGTTGTTTCAGCATTACCTACTTCATTTGCCAATGAAACTTACCTTGCACGGTGGCTTTGTAGCTTGCAATTATAAATTATCATTGGAGACAAACAAATGCAGATTGGAACCAATACTACTGAGAAAAATCACATCCAGTGGGCTGAACAACAGCCAGAATTTTAATGCATAAAATGATTAAGTAAGTGCATTTTTCATGAGCCGTAGTAGAAACACCTATCCGGAACCCTGTAGAAAGCCCCCACCTTCGACACCATTCATTCCCCGCTAACCCGTCTATCCACACAGCCCGCTCGCCCATGTCGGACCACACTCCCACGCGCTATGGTGCTGTCAGCGGTGTCCGGTGGCACCTGTCACCGCTGTCAGCTGTCAACAGGGCTGTTTGCTCGGACCGCCACAGTCACAGAAAGCTACGCTTGCTCGGTGAAGAGTGACGCGGACAGTGTTTGAGGGCGCCAGAGAGCTCACTGAACGGTGAGAGACTGACGTATTAGCCGGACTCCGCTCGAGCCGAGAGCTCTCGTGGGAAGGAGGCGACGAGCCGCGTCATTCTGTGGCGACGTGATTCGGTACTTGAATATATTTATATACAAATTTGACAAATGTGTGTACTGGGACGTTCTGTTCACTTAGCGCTGAATTGAAGAATCGAGATGACATCGAAAGCAAGCAGCTGCGTATTGTGCGCGTAAATCGTCACTAGAGACAAATGTTTTTGGGTTATTAGCGGATGCGCCGATGACTTCAATAGGCGGACAATTGTCTATCATTACCCTACTTTGCAAACGTTCTCAAGAAAAGTGTGATGTGCGTTTTTAAGACAACGCATCTTCGAAACCACCCGTAAACTTTTGTCCGCTTTGTTTTCCGCTCCTCTCCACTATCACGGGACCATTTGGTCTCCGTGCGGTGCGGCCATTTATTGGCCCGCAGCTCCGCCTCGGTCCAAATGACCGGGGCGCTTTCCCACTAATGGTCCACAGGCGGCGCACATCGGCCGCCTTCCTGGCCAATATCAAACACCGAGCGGCTGCAGTCGGAGAGCTGGGGGTCTTCTCGGCTCCATCGGTAGCCGCTACCGCCACCGGAAGTGACCGCTTTCCGGTGGGATGCCGATGGTGTTCCAGCAGTGCCGGACGGCGGTCAGGCAGCAGACCCAGCTCAGGAAATGGAACAGATTTGTCTTGGGCTACTTGCGATGCGGTGGAGCTGGATGTCGTTAGGTGTTCCAGCCAGAAAATCTTTGACTGATCACAGGTCCAAGGAAAAGGCATTCGCCATTTGAGAGAACTCGAACTGCTTATGAAAACGGAGCCTGTAAGCACCCCACGAAGTCAGCTCTTTACTAACTAATTGCGTTGTTCCACGCCTACATTGCCTATTGCCACCGCTGGAAATCCAAATTGTCACCGTCGCGACTGGTGACCTCAGGGTGCGGCCGCGGGCGTGTCCTTGTCGCCGGCGGGAGGCCAATTCAGTCAGCGATGATGGCGCTGTTCCCGTTATTAGTTCAAATTGAGCCACAATGCACGGCGAACAGCCCTGCCGCTGCCGATGTTCCGCGTCGAGAGCGATGTTGACGGCTCGGACAGGGCGCAAAAACGGTGGTCGAGGTGCTCTCGGGTTTTGCCGTCCGTCCGTCTCACTTTAGGTCGTTTCTGCGTCTGACAGCCGGCGGTGGGCTGCTGCTTGCCCTGCTACGTGGTTGTTCCGCGTGTTCGTCTTCGTTCTGTCTTGCGCGTGTGAGAGGAATGCTTCCTAAACTTTCATGTGCGTGTAATGGGCTTCTAGGCTGCCCAGTATAACAATTCATGATACCCAAAAACGGTTTAATTCATGTATTGCAGAACGATGGGATAGAACACTTACATATACCACCCCGACCGATGCGGCGATACCAAATGACCTAGCTCAGCCGTGAACACATGCACGTGATACAGTCCTCAGTAGCAGCGTTTTTATACAGGATTGTCATCTGTCAAATAAATTAGATGATGTCTCTGCCGTGCCATTTTCGTCTAGAGTCAGCTTAGCCGTCACCATCCACAAAAGGGCGTGCTAGCGACAGAGGAAATCTTCTCGCAGCTCTCGGTTGTGGCTTTGGGCCGAAAGGATACCCGGGCGAGACAAAAACAGCGGCACTAACGGAGACAAATTGCGCCGAGATTGTCGCATCTGTCGGCTGTCGGAATCAGCTGGCGAAGCTGAGCTGTACGGAGGTCAGCTGGCGTGGACCAGATCATGTCAGGAATTGTAAGGACCCAGGGGCGAGATGGCAAGTGGGATAGCAGAGGTGGTAAAACTTCACCATGAAGTAGTAAGAATGCCAGTGTGAGATCATGGCAGTGAGATTTTTAGGCAGCTGATGAGATGCATGAACTCATAAGGGTGGCTGAAAATACATATAAACATGCAATTTACTCTTGAGAGCTGAGGGAGCACTATGGAGCTAAATGTTACGCTTTTGGTCAGGGACGTCAGGGTATATCAAATGACACTCAAGTAGGTCGCACTCATCGCCATGCATCGTTCTCACAGTTCGCACCCATCAATCATCTATCAACGACACGGTATCAAACAGGCTAGCGATTGACTAAGCTGTAAAAAACACGCAGCCTGCCATTTACATAAGCACGTCACTTGCAACATAAGTAAGAATAAAATATCAGATTCTTACCCATCCATCCTTGCCAACAGAACACATGAGGCGAAACCAGGGCACGTCGAGTGGCATGGTTCCATTGGGAGGGTAAAGCCTCTGAAAAACTTCTTCAGCTACACGTCACTACCGCTAGCGACAATGATAAACAAACATCAAGGTACATCGGCGGGAAGCAGGCCGGCAGCTACTCTGTTCCCGCGACTAGTGAATCTGAATATCTCTTTGCGAGAGAGAAGACCGTCGCCCTCATCAACGCTTCGCGCATGCTCCGTGTCCACATTCACGATTGAACAGATGTTCGCAGTGCGCGTCTGTAATCAGCGTCCACTGTTTCGCGCTGATGCAGCGTCTCTGTTCATGACAGCAATCCATGGAAGCTGCGATTGCCACAGTTGTGACTCGTGGAAGCGTCCGTGGTTCGCGCACTGGCACATTGACATGATATCTGACTCAGCGTCCTGAGGTTTAACCCCGCAACATCATAGGCGTCTTTCGTCTGGATTCCCTAGTTGGAGAATCTGACGTTTTCGCGCTCACGGGGAACCCCTCGTCGCACTCCCCACCACTTTACCCATTCTGGAACTCCCCCAGCCGCTCATCGTCCACGAACGGGCTCTCATCTTTGCCGTTCATCTCGTCAATCGTCGCGATGCGCACTCGCTTCTTGTTCTTGTTGACGTCGGCCTTCTGGTAGACGTCGGCGTCATCGCGCTCGTCCTCGTGTGTGTAGTAGATGGCGCTGTGCCTGTTGTAGACGAGCAGCGCCAGGATGACGGCCGTCAGCAACAGCAGCGCCAGCACACAGCCGACGATGACGCCCAGCTGCGAGGTGGCCGCCGAAGAGGACGGCGGCTGCGTCATCACGGCGGCACAGTACCGCTCCAGCCGGGCGCTGCCGCCGTCCGAGGCGCGCTGCTGCTCCAGGCGACACTGCTCGGCCCGGGAGACCTCCGAGGACGGGCCGCACGGGGGCAGTGCGGAGGCGTTCAGCTTGCGCACCTCCAGACCGGCCATGTGCGACGGCTCGGAGCACCTGAGGGAGACGTGTACTCGAGTCAGCTTACAGAAAGTAGTTACGACTGCCTTCGCTTCCGCATAACATCGTTTTACATGGGGTTATATATGCAACATATAAGCATCCCTCCAAAGTTTTTAGCTACGTCCCCGACTCGACACCTGATGCTGCCTGTGCTCACCTGATACAGGGCCGCTGTCCACCGCAGAGGTCCAGATGTCTCGCCTCGCCGTTGAGCCAGTTGAGGAGCGGCACCACTCGGCACTCGTCGCAAGCCCACGGGTTGCCGTGCATGCGCACGTGCTCCAGCCTGGCCAGCTGGTGGAGCACCGTTGGCCCCAGCTGTGCCATCTGGTTGTCGCTGACGTCCAGTCGCCGCAGCCGGTGCAGATGCCGCAACATGTGGTCCGAGAGGGACAGCAAGTAGTTGGCCGACATGTTCAGCGAGATCAGCTTTGGCAGCGACGACCAGAGGCTGTCTGAGAGAGACAGGATGCCCGTGTCGGCCAGACTCAGATGCTGCAGGTGAGGCGCGATGCTTCCCAGCGCCTCGATATCCTTCTGCGGCAGCTGGTTACCGGACAGGGAAAGCCAGTGCAGGTGACCGCCGAGGGGACGCAACACCGCCTCCGGCAGAGATGTCAGCATGTTCCGTGACAGGTCCAGGTGGCGCACAGTGACGTCACGGAAGACGTCATCGGGAAGCTCGGCTAACTGATTGCGGCTGAGGTCGAGCTCGCGCAGCTTGTGCCCCGTGAACGGCAGAGAGTCCACCGAGGCGAAGTGGTTGCCGGCCAGACGTAGCTCCCTCAAGTCGCGCAACTGAAACGCAGAAACCTTGGTCAATGTTGGATCACTAGCTTAACAACATTCAGCAGTCACTACAAAGTCGCATCGGTTCAGCCGATTCTCTAAGACGATGCACAACAGTCCGCAATGACACCAAGAAATAAACTCGCTCTCGTCAACCCCGTCCCCAGCACCGCATTATCTCCTTACCTGGACATACTCTCCGGGTCGCAGAATGGACAGGTGGTTGTCGCTGAGGTCGAGCACCCGGAGACGCGGCACCATCTGGTACAGCTTGGGACTGATCTTGGTGAGGTCGCAGCGCGCGCAGCGCAGCTCCTGCAGCTCACGGACGTCTTTGAACACGTCCGGGTCGAGCGACGATGGCGAGTTCCCGCTGAGGTCGAGCGAGCGCAGCCTCCCGAGCTCGATGAACATGCTGGGCGCCAGGCCGGGCAGCGCGTTCTCCGACAGGTTCAGCGTCTCCAGCTTGGGCATGTAGCGGAACGCTCCGCTCGGCACCGAGGCGATCCGATTGTGCGAGAGGTCGAGGAAGCGCAGGTTCTCCAGACCTCTGAAGTGGTTCTGGTCGAGGTTGGTCAGCAGGTTGTGCGACAGGTCCAGTTTGCTGAGCAGGATCAGTCCGAAGAAGGAGTTGGCGCCGATGGCCGGCACACCCGAGTGTGTGATGGTGATCTCTTCGATGAACGCCCGGAAGCGGCGGAACGTGGGGCCGATGGCCAGCTGGTTCGGGTACACGGCTGGGGCGGTCACCCGCAGAACCTGCCGGGGAGACGGTTGGACCCGTTAGTTGACTCTTTAGATGATACCTATGACGTCGGATGTGTTTATCTCCGTTCACCGTTGTATCGAAAGGTGTGGTGACAGAGACGTGCTGCGATATTTAAGCCTCTCCTCTTTAGTTAACTTCCCTGCACCAGGAGCCGTCTGTCTATTGCCTCATCATTGTCTGGAATGAGCGAAGCCCTAATGATTAGAACCGGTAGCGAATATTGCTGAAGGTTTCTCGTTTTAATGTTGTAGCGATCACTCAATCGACGAGTGACAGGGATAAAGCGATCACCAGGCTGTCGCTGTCCGCCACCTTTTGACACCTGACCGTCAAAATCACCACACTACACAGAAAGCCACATACCTAACCATCAGTTTACCTCGCTCGCTAATTGCCCAATAATCCTCATTATGACGTCATTGTGACGTTTCCGTCCATCCGACAGGTACTCGCTGACACGCTAACTCGCTACTGGCTCCAGTCTAGCGCTTCCCTGCCCCTCCTCCCACCCACCCCCGCCCATCAACGCGACGGCTGAGCGCATCCCGTGACCGACAACCGTCCGCCCGGACCGGTCACGTGACCACCGGGGCGCGTCAGGCGATCACCGGTGTCAGCTGGGGTGTGTCGGACACGTGATCGCCCGCGGGCGGTCGTGCGGCACCCGTGCGTCCCACCCCGCTCTGTGCTGTCACACGGACGAACCCCGCAGCGCAGGGAAGGGACAGACTGATGTCAGTCGGAAACGCGCGTATTACGGATGTGCTGATGACAGTGCAGCGGCGAGACTTGGAGGTTTCCACAACGAATTAATCCGCAGCAGTCTTTTTACGTAAAAGCGAAGATGCCATACCTATAGACATCGATGGCCTCAAAATTGGTGTTCACGGAATGAGTAGCTTACTCTTCATGTATGATTTAATTAAAAAGGTTAGTTGGAAATAAAAAAGATGATGGTTTCCAAACCTGCATTGAATATCAGCTGGTTATTGGTGATGTTACCGGATGTGATTCGAGAGTGACAGGTCAGAACCAATATATTGCGCCATTTCTTCACAGCGGTACCCAGTGCTGTCAGCCACCGTATAGTCTACGATGGTTCACGACGAAACACCCCAAATGACTGGCAAATGGTGCGAGACGACCAAGGGATGACCGCTGAATGATACCACTTTACCGACCACCCCTGGGATGATGCGCGATATGAGCTGACTCGGGCGCATTGCGCAATCATTAGGGGACCGAAAGTGGGGAGTGGGGACTCTGGGCAGGCATCATAAATGGCACCCTCGGAATGAATTTGACATGAAGGATTAAATTTGTATTTTCAAGAGATCACAGATTCTAGGCCTTGCTAATCATGGAGTCATTGGAGTGGTTTTGATGCAATCCGCATTAATTTATGAATTATGCATCGACTTGGTCGCAAATATTGCCGAGTCTGCCCGCATTGAAATATTGCATGTGTTTGCCCTAAACTGCACACCATTAGGCACACACCACCATAAACACCCTTTCCATAATGATTTAAGATCATCAACTTACCCTAGTATCGAATTCGATGTAGTTGAAGATGGATGAGTCGGTCATGCCGCCCCTCTCACATACCACTTGTTTCCGACCCCGCTCGTCCGATCCGCACGAGCAGCCCTGGGGGCACCCGGCCTGACCCGGGGTCAGGGCGGCCGCCAGCACCGAGACCAAGAGGACCCGCGACCACATCTGCAACAACAGAGAGATCCGAGTTAGATAGCGTGGTGATACAGGGCCCGTTTACCTTCTCCCATACAAACACTGAGCAAAGAACGGGGGTGGAGGAATGCAGTCTCATTATTAGCTGGTTGCTCTTGACTCAACATAAAAACACAACTGATCATGCCAGTACAATTTCCCGACGAAGGTGATCAGAGTGGAAAGAAAAGTGCAATCGTATTGCCAAATACCTCTGCGGAACGACCTCATAACTTTCGGCATGATATGATCATTGATCACATATATAAATGTATACCAACTGTCAAGAGCGTCTCCAGAAATGCACACAAGATGCCGAACTGAGACCCGATCATGTCGATATTCTGTCGTTGTGTTTCGGAATGTCTGTATCAAAAGTGTCGGAGAGCTCACAAGCGTGGGTCAGCCAGATAGAGAATGAATGTATTGAGCGACAGAACAGAGTTTATATACCAAAACAGTTGGGCGTTGGCCCGCACTTCTTTAGGCGGTGGCCGAAACGGGGAACACGATGATTGGCTGACAAACGACAAGAGAAGCAATGCGATTGGTGGACCAAAAGGTTACAGCGAGGCTGGCGTGATGATAATCAATACCGGGGGAGCTGGGCCACGATGCTGCGGTTTTTATATTGTCCGACGCTCGTATTGATCTGGTCGGACAAAGCGAGCAGTACTTATACAAATCAATATTGAGGTAGCATATAGCGAAATATACCGTGCGACACATGTCACCCTCCCTATGAGCCGACGACAGGAGGCATGACAATAATCAGCACGTAAAACGTACGGGTAATACATTTTAAGATGAACGTATTTGAAAATGGTATGAACATGTAATTAGGTGTCATGGCAATATCACCTACTACCTGCCACGGTGGCTTGAATGGTTCTTCATGGTCCTTTGACATATATGTTGAATAACACTGTAAAGGAAAAGAGCCATTGCCGGGACGTTTAGCGTTCCCGTCAAGGTCGTGGAGCTTACGGTTGGGCGGCTCCTCTGCTCTCTGGCAGGGACCGCTCCTGGGCATCTCTGGCCCTCGGCATCTCTGGCCGAATATCAATTCAATTGATTTTCAGTGAATTGACCATGATATTCACGTATTTAAGTGTTCATACGATTTACAAAACGCTTGTAAGACTGATTGCCAAAATGACATGGGATGTGAACAAAATTAAACACAGCACTGTAGTAGCCCATTTCCCGGTAATTGTGGAGTACGTTATGTACCACTTTAGACAACATGGGTTCCAATCACGGACGAAACGAAACGTATTTAACCATTTAATCGCCTGGATAATCTTGATGCACTGTAACCACTGTAACACAATTTCCAAAGCACGATATCACTGGCACTTCGTAGACTAAACAACAAAAGTCTGCCATTTGTAATAGGTCTTGTCGGTTATCTTAAATTTGAAATATCAGATTTGTGTCTTCAATTTAGCGCTGTGATTTGCACTCCGTCGATTTTCGTTGTTGTTGATGTTGGTGGTGGTGGCTTTTCCTCCATGAGGTTGAGGATATCGCAGCAGGTTGGTGTGCCATGCGCTGTCGGCGAGCTCCGTTGAGGTTTAATGCAGCTCGTTTTTGGACTTCGGTCTTGCATAAGACAGATTATCTTGTCGGGGCAGAGCTGAACACTGTATACGGTGTCGCTAGAGTATGACGGTTCCAGAGTAGTCACTGGTCAGCACCCTAGTCGATGACGTGACGTAGGGGTGACGCACCGTATCGGAGCACGGACGAACCTCCGGTCTGCGGTGTCAGTGCAGATGTAGATGCTGGAGTCCGTTGCGAGGGGCGCAAGTCCCCTCGACCGCCGCTGCCACCATTGTCGGAGAGCTCACAAGCGTGGGTCAGCCAGATAGAGAATGAATGTATTGAGCGACAGAACAGAGTTTATATACCAAAACAGTTGGGCGTTGGCCCGCACTTCTTTAGGCGGTGGCCGAAACGGGGAACACGATGATTGGCTGACAAACGACAAGAGAAGCAATGCGATTGGTGGACCAAAAGGTTACAGCGAGGCTGGCGTGATGATAATCAATACCGGGGGAGCTGGGCCACGATGCTGCGGTTTTTATATTGTCCGACGCTCGTATTGATCTGGTCGGACAAAGCGAGCAGTACTTATACAAATCAATATTGAGGTAGCATATAGCGAAATATACCGTGCGACAAAAGCGTAATCGCCCGACGTCTAAGTTCAATCATTTAGCGGTTGACATGGTCCTTGATAGGGCTTGCTTCTTTTGAGGTCTATTGCTTTGTGGCGACAATATTAATGATCGTTTCGATCTAAACGTTTATAATAAAAACACCTCTGGACCTCAGTCGAGGAGTGGGATGGCCATAGCGTTAAAACATCTGCCTGTGTGGTGCGTCGTTCATCATCTGTGTAGCTCTCTCGTCGCCATTTATCATCCGAGAAATCCAGTCAGTGTGAGTCTATTCACACGACATTTTCAGAACGCCTTACACAAACGGACTCCTTTGGAGAATGAAGCGGGACACTAATGGGACACAATCTGTCAGCGAAGAGCTCGCCCTGAGCAAACGAAACCGATCCTGTTTGTTTTAGCAGACTCCGACCCGGCTGGTGGCTCACTTTGAAAGTCCACGGCGGCTCCCTTCAAAGCCAACTTCTGTGGGAAGATCGCAGAGAACAGATACGTAGATAAAAACCATACAGTAAATTCATAACTACAATTTCAAAGTTTGACTAGTAACTGTCATCTAAATGCATTCAGTCAAAATTCACTGGCTCATAAGCGTTTTTCTTTCTCTTGGATTCAAATAGATTATTTTCCGTTCAACCGTCCACAGCATAAAAACTGCACACACCGTCATATTTCAATGGCTTTGGGTAGCGCTGCTCTATTGAAATGATTAAACCAGTGTGAAGTCACTGGTGCTAACACTGTCAGATGAAGCTGATCAATTTACAAGGTGTTTTACGAGCGAAAAGTTAGCCGCGAGCCCTCTTATTAGATTCATTAGCGCCGTAAAGTCACTTAATAACGGAGCGGTGTTTCATTAAACCACTACCATGAGATTGTTCTCCGAAACATCGTGGATCGATCAGAAGATAAGGGGCACGATGGTTCATAATTCACCAAAGACTGGAAACTTGGCATCGATCGGGTACTACACCTCAGAGCACCTCACTCCTTTGAGAGCGCTAACGAGATTAAATTCCACGAGAGTGCAGCGATGGTACCGGCCCGCGGTTATCCTGCCGAAAGGTCGTGCACGTGCCAATGCAGCCAATGAACCCATATTGGTTGCTGCTGTTTGAGCTTTCACTTCAGCAGTTATTGTCAGTCCACAGCTAGTAAGATCATTTAAATGACAGAGTGGCCGATTTACAGTTCTATGAATTAATTTACAATGCGTTTGGAATTTTACTTTTATGGTGACACACTACACCTCAACTCTTCTTATTTTCACACATTTGTCCAATAACCAAGGCGAATGACCACCGTCAATCTTTTCAAAAATAAGCAACAAAGACCTCCACTAAGGCGCATTGATATTTCAGTATCAATCACACCAAACGACGTCAGCGACGACGCTCGAGCGACTACGGCCATCATCGCATGACCTCCGTCGGACCGTCGTTCTCAAGGTCGGCCGTCTGCTCTCGGCCGTCGGGATCGATGCTGGACGGAGAGAGAGTCATCTGACGGCGAGACGAGGAACCTGGCCCGTCGTCAGACTTTCTGAGAGGCCCGGTCCAGACAGGAACTTCGGCTGAAGGTGTCTGTATGAGGGGCGACTTGGTCCATAACGTGTAATACGGGCTGATGGACGATTGAGCACGAGTGTAGGGTTGTGTGATGACCATAGCACGACCAAACATTTCCGTAGTACCGGATTCAAGATGGGGAAGGAGTTATGCGTGAATAATAATGATTTACCGGTATTACAAAACATTACCATCGGCGATGTGGCTTCGAACACCGAAGAAGCATCTAAACAAAGAATAATATTTTAGTTATCTAAACCGACTCTCATTTTTTGGACGATGATAATGGTGATATAAAATGGCAACAAGAGGATGAGAGAGAAAGAGAAAGGGAGAGAGAGAGAGAGAGAGAGAGAGAGAGAGAGAGAGAGAGAGAGAGAGAGAGAGAGAGAGAGAGAGAGAGAGAGAGAGAGAGAGAGAGAGAGAGAGAGAGAAAGAGAGAGAGAGAGAGAGAGAGAGAGAGAGAGAGAGAGAGAGAGAGAGAGAGAGAGAGAGAGAGAGAGAGAGAGAGAGAGAGAGAGAGATAGAGAGATAGAGAGAGAGTCACCGACCGATGATTTAAAATAGTTATTAACCCGCGCACCGACGGGGGGGGCGGATATCCGCCCCCCCCCCCTGAGGTTTTTCGCGAATAGCGGGAAAACCGCGGCGCGTAGCGCCGCGAAATTTGGTATGACTATAACCTCATCAATTTTACACATGGTGTGCAAGTTTGAACCTCCTACCTTTAAAGGTCAGGTCACCAGGTCACTTTGAATGACCCAACCTCAAGTCACTTTTTTGCAACTTTGTCACCGTGCCAGAGCTACAGTAGATGTCGGAGGCCTTTGAAAGTCGCAGGATATTATTAGGTCATTAGTAGCTACAATTTGTTTATCTCGGAATTTTGATATCGGTGACCTAAGGTCAGGTCAATTTCGCGACCTCCCCATTATAAGTCAATGGGGGAAAAATCAACTCCCTGTTTTTACCACTAAAACGGGTCGGAATGGCCCCATATACCATACATGACTTCATATACGATCAACCTTCACTACCTTGAGGTCTGTTTTGCTGTTGGACAGCTGTGAGGTCATGTGACGTCATCAAAGGTCACCAAAGGTTTTTGGCCAATAACTCCGTACAGGAACAAGATACAGACGCGTGGATGGTCTCATTGTGTTCAGCTCGTCAAGACGCATCGAATGATATACATGATGACCTCGAGGTCACGTGACCTGAGGTCAACCTTTGACCT